CAGGAGGATCATCATAAGTTTTAGCTCAGTAGAATAAGCATTTGCCTAGCAAGTGCAATGTCCTGAATTCAAGCCCCAGTACCGCAAAAAAAAGAAAAAAAAAAAAAAAATGAGGCTGGCCAGATAGCTCAGTGGACTAAAGTGCCAGCTGAGGCTGATGCAAAGACCAGGGTTCGGTCCCTGGCGTACCATGCCATGCTGTGCCAGCCCCGTCCCCAGGGTGCGTGAGATGGCAACTGAGACTAAGTGTGGTGGTGGTCTCCTGTAATCCCAGCTATTGGGAGGATGAAAACAAGAGGATCACTACAAGTCTGCTCTGTAGTGAGACCCTGTAGACTCTGTACTAAATACCAAAAACAAAGCCAACAACAACAACAAAAAAAAAAATCTAAAGCATGTAAACTCTGGATATTAGTAAAGTACCTGTCAAAGCTTCTCATATGGGGGCTGGAGAGATGGCTCAGTGGTCTAGGGCACCTACTTAGAACAAGCTTGGCAAAGCATCAGGGACCGCGGTTCAATCCCCCGGCACCACATGCCAGCCGGCCCCGCCCCCTGGTGGGCTGAGCTGGCCACACACACACACACTACTGTCTCTCTCTCTCTCTCTCTCTCTCTCTCTCTCTCTCTCTCTCAAATAAATAAAAAAAAAATTTTAAAAAAAAAAAAAGCTTCTCATATGTTCTTTGTTAAAATTTAGGAATATCTCAGGTAGACAATAATAATGAACTGAATTTCTAAGTGGCTAACCAACTTGAACCAAACAATAAGTTTTTTATTACTCATAAGAGGTTTTCTACTTAGTCCTGTCTAGTCAACACTTTAATAAAAAATTTACATGATGACAATGCTAGCATTATGCTTACATTTACCAAATGCACAGATCTGATACTTACTATATGATCAAATCAGGATTTCTTGGGGGGGTCAGGGAGACGGCTCAGTGGAGTAAGCGCTTCCCTGGCAAGTGCAAGGGCCTGAGTTCAATCCCCGGTTCCGCAAAAAAAAAAAAAAATCAGGATTTCTTAAAAATATGAACTAGAAAAAATCTGATAAGAAAAATTTAATTTAGAGAAGTGACTTCTGCTTTCTTCTTGTTGCTGCCTGCTTGCCCTGCAATGGATTATTTCTCCTTGTGATGCCCTCTGCTATCATACCTGTGTTGGAGCCACCTGACTATGGAGTGAAACCTCTACAAATTATGAGACAGGGGCCGGGGAAATGGCTCAGTGGAGTAAGCGCTTTCCTTGCAAGCGCAAGGGCCTGAGTTCAATCCCCAGTTCCGCCAAAAAAAATTATGAGACAAACCTTTCCTAAAAAAAAAAAGACTGACAGACAAATGTAAAGTGCTATCAAAAACCACTCTATTGGGGACCGGGGAGATGGCTCAGTGGAATTAACACTTCCCTGGCAAGCGCAAGGGTCTGAGTTCAATCCCCGATTCCGCAAAAAAAAAATAAAATAAAATAAAAAACCACTCTATTAATGAATTAGGAAACCCAGGCATGGTGACAAATGCCTGCAATTCCTGCTACTCAGGAGGCTGAGGCAGAAGAATCAAGAGTTTGAAGCAATATTGGGCTACATCCTGTCTCAAAAGGAGTGAGAGTAGCATTTACTAGTAGAATACCTAGTTTAACTGGATAATTCTCAATACCAAGAAAGAAGAAGGAAAAAAAAAAAAAAAAAAGAATTATAAGGGCATGACTTTAAGAATTAGGAAAGGTCTGGGGAGATAGCTCAACAGCCTAAGTGTCTGCCTAGCAAGCACAAGGTCGTGAGTTCAATCCCCAGGACAAAAAAAAAAAAAAGAATCAGGAAAGGGAGCAGATGTTTCAGCTCAGTGGTAGAACATCTGCCTAGCATATACAAGATACTGGGTTCTGTTACTAGCATGATAAATAGATCAATAGATTGATCAATCGATCAATGACAAAACAATGTAAAGCATTTCAGTTGACTACAAAAATCAATAATACCAGGTAACATAACATAGCACTCAAATGCCAGAGACTATTTGGAATACTTTACACATATACATTAAGTTTTTAAACAATTTTATAAGATAGGAACCATTATTAACCTCATTTTACAGATGAGAAAACCAAAGCTCAGCAAGTTACTTCAGGGTCATCCAGTCAATAGGTTGTAGTGCTGGGATTCAAGGCCAGGAAGGCTAGGCCAGTGGTTACCTTCTTCACCAGTACTCATTATTAGGAAGTAGTGGGATGTGGCTGTCAAAGATGCAAGTCCACACCTTAAGTGCCTGCTTTTAAATCCTAAGAGGTAACTTATAATCTTCTATATAGTTAATGCTGAATTCTGTGTAGCCTACTTTTAAGAACATGGATTAACTAAATCAAATCCATAAGTCAGTCACAAATACTGTGAAGGGGTTCAAATGGAAACAATGACAAAAAACCATCAGGAGAGGCTAACAATTGAGAATATTTTGCCAAGAACCAACGGATATAATCTCTTCAAATATTTGAAAATTTGTAATACAGAAGAAATGGTGCATGTAAAATGGGACCGTAACTTCTAACTCAGTAAAAAGAAGTAACTGGGAAACTGAGAACTGTCCAAATAGCTTGGCATCAAAAACTATAAATCATCTCTCCAGAACAATATACAAACGCAAATAATTTTGCAAAACATTTCCAAGGATTCATAAACCTACTTTTAAAATCTATTCATGCCCCACACCTAGACAGTCATGTCTCTCAGATCAAAATGGAAAGCATTCAAGTATGAAGAGCCAAGTATATTTAATCATCTTTAAAAGCCATTGCAACATAAAATTCTAGACCTAAAAAAAAAACCTCTCAATCTGTGCTTTCTAATTTCTTTGGAGATCCATTATGATAAATTTTGCAATGAGTTTAAAAGAGACCAGAAAAAAAAATAAATAAAATAAAAGAGACCAGAAAGATTATACATCTCATCCTGAGCTGTACTGAGAGCAGTTAAAATTTTGGCTGCAAGGACAAAACTTGCATGTGCCACCCAGACTAAAGAGAGGGGGGTGTCAGTTACACAATCATAGAATGGTAAGAGGAGAAACTGCCCACTAAGAAAAATTCAATGTTGCTTCTTAATTAACTAGAATGAAAAACAAAAAGAGTTTAATAGGTCTTGGGCCTTTATTAACAAATGTTTCAGTGCTTCACTGCTTGCAATTGTAGTGCCAGAACAGCATTACAGATAGCATGTCTGCCATAATAGACTGGTTCCAAGCACAAGATGTTCTTCATAAATAACACACCCAGTACACAAGTGTGACAGCACCTAGGGTCTGGGCATTTGATTTTCCTCCTGGTGCTATCTGAGAGTGGACAGATGTAAAGATTAAGTAATATTGCTTAAGCTAAATCATAGGCTAACCAATTATATGCAAAAACAAGATGCAATGCAAATGAACTAAACTATATAGGGTCATGATTACACCACGCAGAAAACTGATAAATTTCAACTATATTCATGTATTACTTTAACTTAATTTGATTAATTCACTTTTTTGTGGTACTGGGAATCAAGCTTGGGACCTTGTGCTTGCCAGGCAGGCGCTTATGCTACTGAGTGATCTCCCTGGCCCACTCAACTGTATTTATTTTGTTTACAATAATTCCAATCCCATAAAAGAATACAAGTGGCTCAGAAAAATAAATCAAGCTGTAGCTGGATGGCACACACTTGTGATTCAAGCGTTCTGGGAGGCTGAAGCAGGAAGATCCCAAATGTAAACCCAGCCTCGTCAATTTATCAACTTAGCAAGACTATGCCTCAAAAATATTTTTAAAGTCTAGGGATGAAGCTCAGAGCAAAGGACCTGCGTTTAACCCCCAATACCAGAGGAAAAAAAGTAAGCGGAAGAAGTCGAATTAAAAGACACAGAACTAAAACTAGAGCGAGAACTGAGAAATGGAAGACTGAACTACTGACTTAGCAAAGGGAAGGAAACAAGTAACTGAGAGTCTGCCTCTGAGATGGAATGAGGAAAAGGAAAAGTATTCAAGGGCTCAAAGGGAGTCGCAGCAGTGAAAATGCAAAAAGCCTTGAGCCTATTTATTGTTTCAACAGAAAAGAGAACCAACATCGTTAATAAAGATGCTTAACTCATTTCGGAGCAGGGCACTTACTACCTGGCAAGCTTCGTTCCAACTACGTTTCGTAGATTGGCCCCTTTACCCCTCCCAATTGTCTGCCCTCGCCCACACAGGCAGAACTATTATTTTACAGATAAACGCGGACTGAGCTTGCCTCCCCTTCGCAATTGTGTCTCTCAGCGAGATCCCACAAACCTCCTACTGCTCGGAAAGGAGGGTTCTGAATTCCTCAAAGGGCTCTGGGCCCCTCCAAAAAGTGAACCTCTACTTTAGTGAAAAGTTCCTAATGGAGTACGCGAAGTGGAGGCACAAAATGCTTTGAAACTCTTTTAACAAACACCTGGTGGACACAGATGGACGCTATGGGTCGAGAAAGAAGGAAAAGTCAGAAAAACAGACTCGGAAACCATCCTTTTCCAGACGAGGTCAAAGTAGTAAGTAACCGTTCCCCTCTTCCACCTGGCGAAATGCAGGGACGTTACCTCCTCAAATTATGTGCGTGTAGGAGGGTGACCCTCGCGGGCTGCCAATCCTCGTCCGGACACTCTGGGTTACGCGGCCGGCGGGGGACATGCAAATGGAGATGGCTCCAAGGGCCAGGGGACCGCGGGCTCGGGGAGGGAAAACTGCCCGGGCAAGCGCCCGCCGGGTCCAAAGGCCCCAGGCGCGCAGGCCTGCACTCTCGGCCCGGACCTTACCGCCGCTCTGACGCGGAGGACCCGGCGGCTGCGACGCTGTCGGGCCGCGCCTCGGGCGAGTCTCCAGAAGCCGCCGCTGCTCTGGCGCCCACACTTGGCTGCGGCTCGGTCCCGGCGGGAAGCCGGGGCCGGGCGGGCCGAGGCCCAGGACTTCGAAGCCCTGGGACGCTGTCGGCTCGCGCACCCTCGAACCTACCCAAAGAGAAGGAGGCAGAGCGCACCCCGGGTGCCAGGCAGCGACGGTAGCACAGCCGAGACCGCCGCCGACTTCGTCCGCCCTCATTCGACAGAGCGACAGCCCCGCTTCCCCCGCGCAAGCTTTGGCGGCGGAGCGGCACGCCGCGCGCCGATTGGCCCCCAAGATGCGTGACGCAAGGCGACGCTTCCCACGGATTGGCCAAGCCGGCAGTGCGTGCAAGGAGTAAACAAACCCCGCCCCCAATCTCCCCAAAGAGGGGAGAGGGCCGCTGGAAGACGGGCGGGGCTTATAGCGCCACCAATCGCCCTGGTCTCCCTAACCCCTGGTGAGCGCCCCGCAGCGGTCGGGTCACCTCATCCACCTGCAGCCGCAACTTCAGGAACACGCCCCTCCCCTTCTCCTTCTTTACTCCTCACCACCACTCCACCCGGGCTCCAGGATTTCAATCTCTTTTGCATCCATTCCCATAGAAGGAAAACCTTGGAAAGAGGGAAATGAGGTGGGATACTATCTCGATCCCTAGGCCTTCGATAGGATGAAGACAAGGACAACATGAGTGAGGCCCTGTGGTGGGATGGGGGGATCTTGAAATTATTCATACGATACATTATATAGGGCATCTTGAAATTATTCGTACAATACACTATATACAGTCCCCTGGGAATGAAGACAGTCTTCAATACTCAGGCAAGGTACCATCCAAACCCAGCTAGGTCATTGTGTCACGTGGAAGCTGAAGGCAGACTCTTCAGACACCTGTCCCTTTAGATCAGTGTTAAAGATAGTGCTCATTTGTGCACAGGTGAGAAGTCCTGTGCGAGTCTTGCCTACGCCATGGAGCTTCAGAGGTGAGGTAGGTGGGCCTGTCCTTAAAATTAATAAGGTTTTTGTCATTTCGTTCCGTTCAAATTTTATAGATCTTCCTTATGCCAAATACTATTCTTGATGTCAGGGATACATCAGTAGACAGACTATAGACAAAAACTTTCTGCCTTCGTTGAATTTACATCTCAAGGAGGTAGTTTACATCCCAGGGAGGCAAAAGAAATGAGCAAAGTAAAAACTACCGTTACTTGCTGATATGTGTTGTGGAAAAAATAAGCACAGAAGCACAGCTTTGGTCTTCAATAGGTAACAGTGAGAAGGTGCTGCTTAAGCAAATACCTGAAGAAGTCATCTGTGGATCTTTCTTTGCAGTAGGCTGCAGAGACAATTTCTGCAGTTGTTCACGGATAAGGTTCTTAAGAGTCCAGAATACCGAATGCAGTACTTAGCAGATATTCTAAAGTGTAAAATCCCCAATGGGAAATTACAGTTCCAGTATATTAGTCGGCTCTCCTGCTGCTGGGAGAAAATGCCCAGCACCACAACTTAAAGGAGGAAAGGTCTAACATGACTCTTGTTTTCAGAGGTTTCTGTCCATTGTCCATGGACTCCAAGATAGAAATAGCCTAACAGGGCTGGAGAGATAGCTCACTGGCATAAGCGCCTGCCTGGTAAGTGCAAGATCCTGAGTTCAGTCTCTGGCACAAAAGAAAGAAAGAAGAGGAGAAAAGAAAAGAAAGAAAAAGAAAAAGCCTGAGGAAGGGTGCTGGCAGAACAATGCTGCTCACTTCATGGTGGCTAGTAGGAAACAGAGCAGGCAAACAGCATCAGAAAGGAAGGGACAAAGGATCAGACATTTTACCAAAAATCATGCCTTCCTGAACCAACCAAACACAGCCAGAAGTGTGCTTTACTAATGGTGGCTTTCTTTTTTTTTTTTTTTTTTAACTAGTGGTGGTTCTCAAGCCAATCAGGTCCAAATTACTATCTAGTAACAAATTAATAAGCATTTAGTTTCCACAAGAAATTTTGTAAAGGTATGATATTCATTCCATTTAATAAGAAATGAATCACTCCAGACACAAAAGATACAAATATTAGGAAGGTAGGAGAAAACATCACTATTAAGGAACTTAGTCTAGCAGGGGAGAAGTATTAAAAACCATCTCAATATGAAATAACAACCATACTTGGGGGCTGGGGATATAGCTCAGCAGCATAAGTGCCTGCCTGGCAAGTGCAAAGTCCTGAACTCAATTGCCAATACTTAAAAAAAATTAAAAAATCAAAATTTTATAGGGAAAGAAAAACATACTTGGAAGTAGACACAAAGTGCTTGGGTTAATGTGAAAATAGTGAATGTCACTGAAGGCCTGTAACTCTTCCCAGATTTGGGAGGTCTATAAAGAAAACTTTTTCTGCATAGAAAATTTACTACTAAACTTTGGGGTAAGATTATAGCTATGAAGGATTTCATAACCTTGGGTTTTTGGATTTTTTTTTTTTTTGGTCTTTTTGAGATAGGGTCTTGCTATGCAGTTTAGGCTGGCCTTGAGCTCACTTTGTAGCCCAGACTAGTCTTGCAGCGATCCTCCTGCCTCAGCCTCCTGCATGCTGGGATTACTGGCTTGTGCCACCATGCCTGGCTGTTTCATAACCTCTTTCTAAGGTGACAACTTGAAGACAATTTTAAGTTGAATCATATGAAATCACTGATATTTGGCATTTTTTATATGCTTGCCTTTTACAGAGTTAATTTGAGGCTTTTGTTAGGTGTTGAACAAATGATGGCAATTACCATTCTGTGGTACTGCTTTCATAAAAAGAGATTTAAAAAATCAATGTTTCATAATACTTCCAAGTGCCATAGAGTAAAATAGGCAATGAAAGTTTCAAATTTTCCACATACTAGTTTGATCTAGCTGTGAATTTCCATGACCTAATCAGAGTATGCTGTGAAAGACAGTGAATGCTAGTTTCACAGCAGGCCAAGAAATTCAGAATAAGGAGGAACAGCTTGGTTTTGAAGCCAGAAACTGAAAGTTCTCCAGAACAGAATAAATTGTTGGGTTCCTACAGTGAAGAAAATTCATGTAAATCAATTTTCATTCCCACTCATGGCTTCAATTTAGCAATTTGCACAATAGTCAGCTTTCTGCCTTCCTTCTCATTCCCCATTAAGGTATCTTCTTTCCTTTGAAAAAGGAAATAAAGCTGCTGCCATCTCCAGTGCCAGAGAGCAGAGGTCTGAAGTGTGACAGCACACTGAGCCAGCGCACACTTGTGAGTGCTATGCGCCAAGAACTGTGTAGCAAATCAGACACAAATTCCTGTGGCCCAAGAGCTCTGTTCTCTGGCATTCCTTGTGCGTGGAAGGGTCCCAAGCTCACTCACCACTCACCTTCATACATCTTCTTATCCAAGTTTACTAAATTGCACTTTCTCCAGAAAGCTACCCTTGACTCCCCATCTCTAGTCCTTTTCCAATACAATTCTCTTTGCCTTTCTAACATTCACTAAATGTTAGAAATGTTGCTCACTTGGTGTTTGTCTGTCACTGGACTATAAGCTCCTGAGTCAGAGTTGTGTCATTCTGTTCGCTATCATATCCTCAAGAGAAGCTCAGCACATTTTCCAGGTCACTATTGGGTGGCTGAGAGTGCCACAGTCCACCACAGTTGGAAAGGCAGAGGAATGAGTAAGGCCTCTGTACCTGCATACACAGGGGCCATAGTTATTCACACATGCCGCCCTTCTGGATGCTGCTTCTGCAGCTGCAGTTACAGAGCTCCTGGGCCAATGTCACTCAAACTGCAGCATCCCAAAGCTCACCCAGGGAACCTTTGTTGCAATGTATACTATAAGATGAGCCCCAGGTTCTGTTTCCATTCTGAAGGAAGCTGGTGCTGCATTGCCAGAGAAACTATTGTGCTTTGAGTAGCAAGGTCTTTATTGGCATCTTTTTATCACACAGAAAGATCTGCCGTCAGGACAGTTCCAGATATGCTTCTTTTAAAAACCTTCTTTTACACCTGATCTATCCAGTGACTTGACAAAAGAAGTTAGTATTTAAAGAGAAAAGTGTTCAGCCTAGGGTCTTGTCTTCCAGAGGCAGTCCTAGTATGTTCAGACTAATCACCATACCCAATGTGGTCTCTCCCTAGTGCATTTCTGGAAGGACTATATCTTGGGGGACTAGAGTGACTTCACAGTCACTTCACAAAAGCAACCTCTTGGGTCAGCCAAATAGCTTAGTGGATTAAAGCACCTACAAGCAGGCACAGGGCTGGGGGTTCAATCCCTGGGCCTACTGTGTTGGCCCTGCCCCCAAGGCATGCTGAGACTGCAATTGAGACTGGGCATGGTGGCGAACACCTGTAATCTCAGCTCTTGGGAGGCTGTAAACAGGCGGGTCACTACAAATCCAATCTAGTAGTGAGACCCTGAACACCCTGTAGACCCTTCCCTAAAATACAAAAAAAAAAAAAAAGGTAACCTCTTCATAATATCAAGCCTCCTTTTTGTGATGGTGGTGGTGGTGATACTAGGAGTTAAACCCAAGGTCTTTTCATTGAGCTACAACCTGAGCCCAAGCTCCCCCCGGCCCATCAGTTTTTGCTAAATTGCCCAGGCCCAAGCTTTTTTTTTTTTTTTTTTCTTTTTCTTTTTTCCGGATCAGTTCTTACTAAATTGCCCAGAGTAGTCTCTAATTCACAATCCCCCTGCCTTGGCCTTCTATGGTCCTGAGGTTGTAAGTCTGTGCCACCATGGCCAGGTAGTCTCTTATAATAAAATAAATATCTTGCCCATCAGTAATCCGAGCTACATAGGAGGCTGACGAAGATCACAAGTCTGAGCCAGCTTGAGAAACTCAATGATATCTCACAACAAAAAATAAGAAAGACAAAAGACGTATTTCTAGTAAAGTGCCCCTCAAAAAAAGTGTAACGTATAAGCTGGGGATATGCAGCTAAGTGATAAAGAACTTGCCCAGTATGTGCACGACCCCAAGTTTGATCCCCAGCTCCACTACATAGCAAGTTCAGGGCCAGCCTGCTTAGTGCAATCCCATCTCCAATAAATAAATACATACATACATACATCTTGAATATTCTTTGCAATTTCCTTATTTTCCTTTATAATGTTAATATACATGTACATGTCTCTAAACAATACCCTGTTTAGTTTTTCATATTTTGAACTTACTTTTAAGGTCAAAATCTATTATTTATTTGAACATTACAATTTTGGCTCAAGATTTCATTTGAAAGCCATCTGATCTGGGTTTTTCTAAA